TGGTTTTATTTTGCCTATCTCGATTTCTTTTCTAAGACACGTTTTTAGTAGGGACCATGACAAAGCGTTGAAGCGTCTTACGCAGGTTTTATTTATGTATAACATATTTTGTTGAATGTTTCTTATACAAAATTATTAAATTTGATGGAAAACTTTAATTAATTATTAAATAGAAGTCTAATCAATTCTATTATGTTTGTACGAAAGAAAGATTGTGTTTTAGTTTAAGCGAGTGGTGTATGTTTAAATAAACAATTTTGTCGGCTCAAAACTCGAAATATAGCTGCAAAACATCGGATTGTAGTTAAAAAATAAGTGTAACGTATACACTGTTAGTTTTTTTCATAAATAAAGTCTTGTCTATTTTTATCTTTCCCTTCGCCGAAACCTGGATCTAACTCGGCCATTGTTATTAAGCGTGATAAATTTAAACCAAAAATATATTGCACCAATTCGTCCTAAAAATATCCATTTGTGTCTCTTATTATTCGCTATTCTCGGTCCTTGCAGAATAATAAAATCGGAATCACATTGAAATGCCGATCGACTTACGTCGCCCTCTCTCCTAAGAGGTGTTTAGTATTCTATACTGTTGTAGTATTATTCATTATTTCTTTTCTATTCTATAACTTGCTACCACTATGCAATTAAAAGAAGGGGTTAGTAAGCCACAATAAAAAAAATGATTTAATAATCAATATGATATATAGTGAATTTTCCTTTTTTGAAATAGTGTTCCTTTTTTAAATTATTGGTAGGACCTAGAACAACATGTGATATTTAGTATTTACGCAGTTTATGGCAAACCCACATCTTAATATTCCTGTGTGTTTCCACTTTTAAAGAATCTAGGACTCGAATTTACACTAACGACACGTTGAAATATTTTTATATTATATTCCTTGATTAATCAACGTATCACATAAATACCTAATAATAATTTATTTTTAAATAAAACCCTTTTAATTTTGATGTATATAACGCGTCTTAAACCATTAAATAAATGTGTTTTATTTAATGTACTCGCGTAAACTGCAGGCTGAGTGAGCCCTTTTTTATATAGGTATAATTGAGTGTATAAGTGAATTATCTAAAATTGGAAAACCCTATATCGTAGTATAGGTTTTTCCATTTTTAAATAGTTCACTTTGTGGTTTTGTAATACGACTAATATCTCGTGTAACTGAGTTCGAAAATGGAACGTGCACATGTGGAAAATCCCTAACCGTGCTGTCGAATGGAAAAACGCTCCTTGGGTGACACTCCCATAAAATGCAGCTCACTAAACTGATGGCTTACGCGATAATCGATACGGCAGTAATTTAATGAGCCCCTACAATTTCAAGAAGACGAGACTGGAATAGTAATTGTTTTAAATATTGTCTGTAGTTTAAGCGAGTAGTACATTTATATAAAAGAGTTTTACGGCTAAAAATGTGAAATATAAAACTTATACCGTCAATCGCTATCGTCCCCAAACAGACGATGGGGCAGATGGCGCTACCGTAGCAGTTTTTTATTTCGACATCAGAGACACCCTCCATCTTTAATCTCCCCGTGACCGCGGCTGCTGCAAAGCATCCGAAACATCGGGCCGTAGTTAAAATAATTTTCAAATAAGTTTAGGTAATATATTTCGCGTTTTAAAACGTGAAATTAAGTGTTTTTATTACGTTTAGCTTCTGTTTATCTAAGAAGCTTAGATAGGATCATACCTAAGTCTCAACTTAAAAAGAACGATTTTATTTTGATTAACTTATTGTATTTTATTTAAAAAAAATGGTATAATAAAATGTCTGTTTACCAACTTAGCTGAGCTTAGTACACTTATAGTATGTAGGTATATTTACAATGTTCTAGATTTAAATTTTCCAAGCATTGGTTACTTCCACGACAATATGGCTCGTCGCATCGCCGGTCTCTGCCGTTCGATCTGTACATCTATTTACAGTCGCTAGACGCGACGCTGTTCGCATAGCGCGAATATCTTCGTTTTAGAATCAGTAATCTTTTGGAGTGTTTAACACAAAAAATATTAACATGAAAATATTTGTTTTTTTGCCCGACCAAAACAAATGCGCATTTCCGGGTCTTAAACTTAGGTTGGTCTTGAGCTACCGAAGGCTTCGTCCGGGCTCCAAGTAAAATAATAATGGAGAACAATTTTCAGAGTTGTATTGTAATTACTTTTATCACGATATTGTTATTCGTAACCTATCGTGACGTTCGCTTTGATATTAAATTTAATTAAACCAGATTGCATTATCGGTATTATCAATACTCAATCACTACTCGTGTAACCGTTTATTCGAATTTCAATTCATATGTCTATATAATTTGACGGGCTTGTTGGTCCTTGGTATTAAGGTTCCTGGTTTCGATTCCCACCAAGTCATACATGTTTCTAAATAGCTTTATACTTCGTTTGGTTAATCTGAATATTTAATGGGTGGTGGGAATGTCGAACTTCCATTCACGGAACACGTCATGAACCAGTGTCGACAGCAACCCACGAAAGATCGAATAAAAATGTTTGGGAGTGTGTGTGTGTGTAAAAGTTTATAACTTCTGAAATGTTTATTTTATATCCGTGCAAAGCCGGGGCGGATTGCTAGTACTTATAAATTAAAACCTTCAGTTCATTAATAATTGTATTAAATAGGTAATAATAGATGCTGTGTGCATGTAGCCGAAAATCATTTGTTAAATTATTATCATAAGCTTAATGTCAATTTATTGATTGACCGCCTCTGTAGCTGAATGGTTAAACGTGTTGCCTAGCATTGCGTTAAGCGCGAGAGGTCCTGGGTTCGAATACCGCGAAAACATTAAATTGTTTCGGTCGGGCAGGGCACAGAAGGTCTGATCAACTTATATAATTATACTTGCCTGTGACCGCATCTGTAGCCAAATGGTTAAGCGTCACTACGTTCTAGGCAATCCCAGCATTGCGTTAAGCGCTAGAGGTCCTGGGTTCAAAACCCAGGGAAACAAAAAAAATCGTTCGTGTTCGCCCCAGTCCCCACGAGGGGGAAACGAACTTTCACTATACTTGCCTGTAATTTAAACTCATCAGTAAAACGGACACAGAAATGTGTGTCACCCCAAGCCCTCCATAAGGGGAAACAGGATTTTACTTTTTAATTTAGCACTTGTATTTTTCTAGCTCTAATTTACCGAGTTATATATTTTTGACTTTGTATTTATAATAATGATTCCGTATTTTGCTGTTACTAGAAATCATTATTGTGGTATTGTACACACTTGTACTGACTCGAGATTTCAATTTGTTCTGACAACTCTAAGGAATCGGTCTTAGAGTTAACGACAATGAAATCCGAACTTAGTTTGAAATTGATCAGACGGAAAGCAATGTGCGCTCCAAGCGAAGCGGAGTATATAATAAGCAACGACAACAGAAAAAAGAAGATATTGGTATATTAAATATTTGTTTTATTGTACCAATATTATAAGCTAACAAAAAAAATGCCCTGAAATAATATTTGAATTCCGAATCACGTGATCTGTCACGTCAAGTATACAGACCAATAGATGTTTAAAATATGCTTATTTTGTAAATTAAAAATCGATTAAAAATCGATTTTAAATTGAAAAATTTACGTCTCGGGCAGGACTTGAACCGGCATCGTCAGTGTTCCCCGCTGTTGCTCTAACTAGTGAGTCCTAAACGTCAGTGTTTTTTCAACCATTTGATACATGCACCTCCCGCGCAATGTAATTTCAACCTTAACTCTTGGGGGTTAAAGTTCAATGTCTTATGCTTTGTATTTTAACAACCGAGTCCGAATCAGCCCAAGTCGTATTTCTTTTTTTCAATTTATAATCGATTTTTTATTTGTATAGTGCCATCGTGTGCGAAAAATATTAAAGCTTTCGAATAATTATTTTCGTCAATTTATTAAAGCTACATACGTGCCGTTTTTAACTGAAAGAGATTTTTTTATCAGTGTATTAAGTTACAAAATGCTAACCGAATTTTTCATTCACTGAAATATCCGTGTGCATTAAATATTACAAAGGGAAGTAAACCGGTTTATGAAAATCGACGCGTATCCGATTATTTGGCACCTTTCATCTACACAAACGCGTGTAGACGATGCGTTTCAGCTCACTAATTGATGATTTTCGAAAATCCGACTGAAATTTCGAATGTTGCTATTGTGAAATATGTAGAGGCTAAATCACTTGCAGTATTTTGCAGACAACGGACTGTTTGCCGGATTTGTGGCGATGTATTGTAAGTGCTATCGTGCAGTCGGGAAATAAATATGGAATCAAATATCTAGAGGAAATATGGTTTATGATTTGATTGACAGAAGATTTTCAGAACATGATATAGTTTTATACAAAATAAATACGACTAAAAGAAAACTTTGAAATTTTTCTTTTGTATATAAGAATGGATAGAGCGCTGCTGCTGGTTCCGTTTAACATTTTACTTCTTTTACGTACGGTATGTGGGACTTGGGCAACTATGACTTCTCTGCTATTGACCTCCGGACTTCCAAAGTTGTATCCACCAAAAGCCGGTTCCCAGGATAAATAAAACGAAGACATTCAATTTGTCTATTAAATAATTAATTTATAATTAGTGACTTAAGTTTATGCATTCATAAAATTACTAATTACGAAGTCTTTAAAGATGATGTTTACAAAAAAAAAATAGTCGAATAAAATATTATATAGATAATTATTGTTTAAGCCACTCGCATATGTACACGTAATTTTTAATTATTTTTTAAAATCTCATTTTAAAATAAATTAATATTATGTGAAATAAAGTCTTTAAAGCTAATTCGCGACAAAAAATCAAGGCCATTAAATGAACCACACGCGTGTCGGTCCCCTCTATTACAAAAAAAATAAACTACCTCAACTTAATTAAACATAAGTTACTTGTTTTGGCGTTGCGAGAGTACTGACTGATGAGAAACTGTTTTATGTCGTATTTATTCATTTGTTTTTATTTCAGTGTCATCATGTGGACATATATTGTCGCCGCGTCACGCGGCGAAAAGCGCCAGACGGTGCACCGTGACTCGCCCATACCAAGAAATGAGCCCGTCTTTAGGTAAGAAATATATTTAACATATTTTAGGAAAATTTATTTCCAATTTCCCAAAACTTGAGTTTTATCGCAAGCATTTTAATACCTTCAGTCAAATAGTACAAATTGCCGTCAACTGTTTGAGTCGTGCGGGGTAGAATCAAACTGTAAAATTTGTACATTGTAACAATCACCAATGTGCAACTACGTAGCAAGTTTTTATACAAATTTCATTGCGCAAGAGTTGTGTGTGAATGATGAGTTAAAGCGATTCGATGATTTGTGATCAATCAATCTGGAATCGATATTTAATACAGTTAAAGCATAAGTCAATTTAATTAAGTTACCAGCAATAAATTGCTATAAGTCTTTAAAGTTTTAAACAATTTTACACCTTTGACTTTAATAAAATTTTAATAAAAGCAATTTTTCTCTAAACATGTTCATCTACGGGAACATTTAGAAAGTCCTAGTATTATTAAATCCTCAATAACCTACACAGCCTTTGATATCAATCCCCGTAGTCGTAAAAGGACGCGCAATAGAAAACTCAAAGACCGACTAACGTCTAATACTGGAAATTTTAGTTCCAGCTTAGTTTAACTTGAATTTAATATTAAATTTCGAATGTGAGATTTAGCAAACAAACGAGTTCTTATTCTATAATTAAACTGTGGAGACTTAGGCATAGTTTTTTATGTCCTATTTAACATGAAAACTGTGAATATTTGCGTTGCTTATTTTACAAACAGGTCAGCTCGTTACTGTTATCTAAGAAAATTGATAATTTAATTACGATTTACAATATTGTAATCTATTGTAACACAATTAGATACATAGAATGCTTTCATTTATCGCGCTATTTTTTTTTTTAATAATCTGCAAATACTATAAATAAACATATTTATTGAACGTCTTGTTTATACATTAAACATACATTGAAAAGTAATTAAATTACATCTACATTACTGTATTTCTGTTTGTGTTAAACCTATGCAATAAGGCTTAAGTATTAAATTACAGTAGTGTAAAGGAACTAAATTCATATTCGAAATATGAACTCAATATGTAATTTAAATTCCACGACGAAACTGCATTTGACGAAAGTTCATTTTAATTACACCTGTGAGCCTAGACGCGGACTGAGTTTGGAATGCCTTAGTACTTAGTACAGAGAAAGGGGAATGTAATAATTATTATAACGAGAACCAGTAGTATATAGACATACGTTTTAATATATGGATTAGAGAAAGAAATATATTTATACTAAAAAATGAATTAGTTTGTTTCTTGTTTGAGAGTTTGAGAGTTGTCTAACCAATAGACCATTTATCGAGTAAGGAACGAAGAAACAGTGGGAATTATGGAAAACGGGGAAAACTAAATGAAAGAATGATTCCTCTTTAAATGACTTAAAAATAATGTCTGCCACAGTATATGTCTTCTAAGATCAATTAGCGAGAACGAGGCGATTGGACGCGGGTAACGTCGTGGGTAACAGCTAGTAATATAATATATCAATTACTACAGCAATTATTTAAAACTCTGATTTTTGATTACCATGCAACATTATTAATAATGTTTCTAGGAAATGTTTTGTTACGAATTGAGCCCCTGAACATGGGAATCGGTATTTCCATTTTCCAGGTATAAGGCATAATAACATAATAATTTCTGCCTTATAACAATGTATCAGTTTTCACAACGTTGATTTATCAATTTAAATTCTCTTTTACAACGAAATGCTTAAAATAAATCCCAAAAAATATCGTATAATTTTTACACAGGTACAATATATTTACTTTATTTAGTTGATGATTTTTTTATTGCTGCTTCTTTAAAAAACTAAACCTTATGAGCATTACGATTTAGAAATTTGCGGGACTCGAACGCAAGACCAGCTTCTCATTCGTTTCCATGGCATCTATACAATTCTTTTCGCATAATTTCACACTTATAAATTAAAGTTCAAAGTCGTGTGCGTTTTTTTCATAAGTTAAAGAAAACGAAATTAACGAAATTTTTTTCTTAAGAACCGATAGGTATTTTAAGCCACTATTTCCCTGCCGTATTGCAACCTAGTTGCATAGTCTAGCACCTTCACAAATGTTACGCGAGAAACCAATTTATTCTATTAGGAATGTACAGTCGAGTGGAAAAATATTTCACACGTATATTTCTATTACTTTTTATAAATGTAATAATAACTATTGTTTGAGATCAAAATCAAAATCAAATATCATTTATTCATGTAGGTAGCTTAGTACACTTATGAACGTCAAAACAGTAAAAAATTTAAAACTCTTAATTTACCGTTACTACCAGTTCCCAAGTTAGTGCGTAGAACGAACGAGAAGAACTCGCCTTTTAATTGCCAAGTTTTTATTACAATCTCCTAAAATTCCTTACGCACTTAATGTGTACGTCTTCTTCCTTATTAGAGCGGATTCCTCCATACCCCAAGCATTTTTATCATTTAAATATTCATTTACGTTATCAATCATTAATATTTAATTTGTAACAAATATCCTAATTTTTATTTAAATTTTCCTTTAAAATAATTAGACAAATGTTACCTTAACTAAAGATATTCATCTCATATTTTAGGCATATTAAATCATGTTTAAGTTAAAAGTACCCACGCGCAATATGCGTTGTAATATTTTTCGACATACAGATTACTTATGAAGGTAGTTTTTTGCAAAAATGTTATTTTCTAGTCGACTGTACAATAGATATTGAAACTCCCAGCGATTACTGTGCACTTGACGTTGTTTTATTTGAAAGTTAAGAACCTACATACCGCGTAAACTGTACAATCTAGAAGTGAAATAAAGACATTTTTGCGTCCGTTGCACTAATAATTACAGGCAAGTGAAGCAGACTTCGATACCCTTACCGATTGAAACTATTATAATCCCCAAAATTGGCACAAGGCAGTCAATACCTACAAACAGAAAAAACTTTACTTCTATTCTCACCGCGGACGGTAGTTCGAGACCCGGAAATCCGGAAAACACGAAAATAATTTACGCACCTGCTACAAGCGAGTAATCGAACCAACGATTATTAGCTATCGCTATTGTTAGATCAACGTGCCTGTGCCAATGTACCAACCTATGGTTAACACTAATTAAATATCTATTTCTTAATAAACTAGTAGAGATTTTTTTTAATTGGTTTAGTAGTATTTTATGCAAATCAACAAGTAGATTCCTGTATTTCACGTTCGTGAAGCACGGAGCTCATGTTACAAACTCGGTATTGGTTGTTACATTGTTCACATCGCAATCACGTGAAGTGTTTGACAGCGAGAAACATTAATGTGCATTTTAGTAAGGGAATTTTTACTATACGCTACAAGCATATTTAAAGAAACCCACTTACAGAATTATGATTCTAATCAAATAATAATTCTTTCTGAAACAAATCTGGATATAAATTTGGTGGTAGGAATATAGACATTGTGACGGGGTCCAAACATCTACAGATGAAAAATCCGTGAAGTTCAATCGCGTTTCGGTTTCCGTCCAAATATCCGAATATCCAAGATCAAAATGGTCGACACCACATCTAGTTTGGATGTTATATAGCTGGGATATTTCATGTACCATCAAATGATACGCAAGCTTGTCTGTTCTCCAAATCTCGATCATAAAAAATCAATGCCTGGATACTAATGTAATAGACCTTACATTATTTTATCGAACATAAATTTAACCCTAATTGAAAAACGTATTAAGTTCGTTTATGCGCATTTGCTGTAATATTATTACAGGCGCTTCGTAATTTTTTGGTTAGAAAAACGTTTTCCCCTTTTTTACATTTAAGTTTGTATTTACAAAAACGGGACAAACATATATTATTTGTACCTTAGTTTAATCTACACTTATAGTGTAATCATTTAAATGCAACACTACACAAAAACTTTTTTTTTTTAATTATTACAAAGACTGCTGAGAAATTACAAGTTTATCTAAAATATGTCGCGTTTTAAACTGTTAAAGTGTTTTTATTTAAATGTGTACTACTCGCATAACTACATACGGTATTTTATAGTGTAATCTTCAAACCAATTAAATTTATCTTACTGTCAATACAATACAAAAGAAATACCTATATATAATCCTCTTTTGTGCACAATATTAGGTATTTAACTGGAATGTTTGTATGAACATGGCTAACAATAAATTAAGTATTTTTGTAGTTGGAATAATTACCTACATAAAAAACTAAATTATAATTTCGCATTTGAAACAATTCTTCGCACCAAATCAAAAATAGAAGACCTCTTCTCATTCTTCTCTATTGAAAAAACAAAATAGCGTTGAATCTCGTTTAGTAAGTACAGAGATTTCAAAACACGACCTCTTACAGATACACCGGGCCGTATCCTGGTCCCTCCACCTCCTGCTTGAAGGTTCGGAAGACGTCCAGATATGATACCAGGCAGACTTCCAGCCTGCCGTGCAGCCCTGGTCGCTTGACCAAACCACCACCAGACGTCCGTCTTGAAGAAGGGGATTACGCCTTCCCTACTTTGGCGGTAAGTAATAAAACCCTCCAAAAACGTCGGGTCGTGGTCAGAAACATGTTAATTGAGATATCTCTCATTTTAAACCTTTAAAAGTGTTTTACTTAAAAACAGAGAAATTGACTTTGATGTAAAGCCCGGGTCTAATACAAGATAACTAATATAACTCGTATTTTAAACCGTTAGCAATGTTTTATTTAAAGGAACGTGTAACACAGAACATTAGTAACGGTTTAAAACTCGTCTACGTAAATCAGTTTATCTTAAATTATAACTACGGCCCGACGTTTCGATGCTACGCAATGGTGGCGTTATAATAAATTAAAAATAAGTAGGTATAAGAACATGAGTGCGCTATGAAAACTATTGATGATAGAATAAAAATATTTTCTACAAAAAAAAATCTACTTCCATGCAAACTGGGAGGGGCCATCATTCATTTAAAAACTTTTATAATATTTTAACATGTTAAGGCACATGGATGGCACTATATACTCGGTAGCTCAATCAGTTAGACTTTAGAACAACAGCACGCAACGCTGACGATGCCGGTTCAAGTCGTGCTCGAGTCGAAAATATTTTTAATTTATTTTCGATTTTTAATACACATTAATATTCTCGATATACCTACTACACGTGGTAAAACGTATACGAAGCCAGCTGGTCTTATATAAAATTCGTAAGTGAACTCTCTCGCAATATATTTACGAGGGCTTATGTAGTATGCACGCTTTTATTTCCTGTGTAAAGCCGCGCTTCACCAATTGACAGCGCTGAACTTCAAAGGCAGAACAAATTAAATTTTAAACTTTCAATAGAACATACACCAATACCGAACATCGCGGGGACAAAATATAATTTACGCGCACTTTCAAATCTGCAAAAATAATATAAACCAATACCTGTATATTTATTTACACTCGTTACATAATTATCCATTAGACATATCACTGCATAGTATAAAACAAAGTCGCTTTTTCTGTCACTATGTGAGCTTAAATGTTTAAAACTACGCAACGGATTTTGATGCGGTTTTAAATAGATAGAGTGATTCAAGAGGAAGGTTTTTTTATACAACGCTCACAGTTTTTTTTATAGTGTTTATGCAAAAGTTCAGTAGTATCAGCATTGCGCCCGAGCAAAGCCGAGTTGCTAGTAAAATTTAAATTTATGTGAGTAACATAAATTATGTATTTATTTATAAAAGTTTTAACGGTTAAAAACGCGATATATATTGGGTATACTTCTATTTTATTTCTTTAGATGTGACGTTGCAGCATGCGAAACGGCGAGTCGTCGTTAAAAATAATATAAATAAAAAATAATTTCAAATAACATATTTCGCGTTTTACGACACATAAAAATTATATATTTTAATATATCATAAGTGAGTCCCGTTTCCACTGTGTGGGATATAAAACAGGCATATTTCTGTGTCCACCTGATCAAATATTTATTTCATTATAGTATGAAGAGGAATCTTGGGTAAGCATAATATATATTTTTGTCTGATCAAAATTTGCTTTATAACACACTAATAACTATGTTCTATTATCAAATAATTATTGGTACTTCAGTTCGATTATTCGATTGAAAATATTAACGAGACAATTCGCATGTATTATAGTTACTTATTTACATTACATTTATTTATTTATTTATGCGGACTCTTCTTCGTTCTATGTATTGTTCATGCGAGTTTTAAAGGCGTGATGCAACATGCAAATATTGTTTTATCAAACGGAACCGAACTAGCGGAGCTCATCGTTTGCGAAAATCGCTTTCTTGAAGGAGAATACCTATATCACCAGTTTTGGGTATTTCGAAACTGTTCACTTTGTTCGGTAGAATAAGTGTTGCTTTTAAAGTTTGATAGTTTTAGCACAAAATTACGTAGTACAAAAAATAAGTAGCTTTGAAAAGAACTTTTTAAGTGAAGCATAAAAATGTTTTAAAAAAAATCGAAATATTCAATGTCGGTAGCGCCCACTGCATAAGGAGCCTACTGCCCCTCTATCGTCGAATTAGATACTCAATGCGCGGCGTGTCGGCCACCGCCGGCATGCATTTTTATTTTAACTTCGTGATATCTTTTGATTGGAATGTCCGATTTCAATAATTAAAAAAGTAATCATCAGGTATTGAGACAGTCTTGAATATTAAAATTTTATTCAGATATACAATTTATAAATGGTAGGGATAACACGGTCTGATTTTGATCGGCATTTCTATCAATTTGTTTAAATGAAAAAAAGTAGTTATAGCGACGTAACAACAATAGTTAGGCATATGCTTTTGCGATGTTTTTTGTAGATATTAATGTATTCTAGTGTAGCTTTCTAATGAAAAAAGAATTATTAAAATCGGTCCAGTACTTTTTGAGTTTACCCGTTACATACAAAAATACAAATCTTTCCTCTTTATAATATTAGTATAGATAAAATAAAAGTACCTATTCCGTACCTATATTTGATATTCAATACGTTCATTGTTAGTGGCAAATCGTATTATAAAGCATTAAAGTTTCCAACGAGAACTTCTTACATATTAAAATAAGAAATGTTGGAATTATTTGTACAATGCAAAAGTTTTGTACGCTGTTAGGAAACGTGTTACTATAAGTACCTATGTTTGTTACGAGTTGTTTTCATAAGTAATTTGGCCTTACAGACGCTCAATGAAGCGTAAAAGTTGTGTTGACAGCTTATATCTATTTTCTGCCCTATATGAAACTGTATTTTAATTTCAAGAGCAGTTGAAATTTCATTTATCGATCAATTTTCAGTAGTACCTACTTAGTAGTATGTGTTTCGTAACAAGTTTTATAATATACTTAAACTAAACTACTACTATACCTTAAAAATCGAAAATAAATTGAAAAAATTTTCATCGGGCAGGACTTCTTAAGCTGCAAAGCAAAGACATTGAGCCTTAATACGCAAGTGTTAAGGTAGAAATTACATTGGGAGAGGTGCATGTATCAATAAGTTGAAAAAATTCGACGATGAGGTGTAGGACTCGGTAGCTCAATTGGTAGAGCAACAGCACGGAAAGCTGACGATGCCGGTTCATGTCCGGAGTCGAAAATTTTTTCAATATTTTCGATTTTTAAATTATATAGTGCCTTCATGTGCAATAACATGTGAAAAATATTAATGTTTTCAAAATATATACTTTTAAACATTTTTATGATATAAACATACTTCTAGTAAAACAAGCACATATTTGGATTCTTTGAAAATCTACTCGTACTCTTTAGAATATTAAATTATGACATCTTGAGTCAAGTGGAGTTAAGAGCTTATTTGTATTGAAACTTCTGATATGAATGTAATGTCAACCTACTCTGCAGCGCAATGCTATACATATCTATACTAAAATTATAAAGAGGAAAGATTTGTATTTTTGTATGTAATAGACAAACTCAAAAAGTACTGGACCGATTTTAATAATTACTTTTCACTAGAAAGCTACATTATCACTGAGTAACATAGGCTATATTTAGCACTTGATTACTATAGGCATCTATAGAAATTCTTACTAAAACCAATGGAAGGCTTAAAAAAATTAGCCGTAAAATGTCTTTCTTCGCATACGATGAGAAAAGTATTATTGATAGGACAAAAAAATGTTCGACAATATTATAGAATATATCAATATCTACACCATCAAATCAAAACATCGCGAGAGCATATGTCTAACTATTGTAGTTACGTCGCTATAACTACTTTTTTACATTTAACAAATAGATGCCGATCAAAATCAGACCGTGTTATCCATAGTCCATACCATTTGTAAATTTTTATCCAAATAAATAAAGACTGACTCAATACCTGATGATTACTTTTTAATTATTGAAATCGGACATGTCATTCAATCCAAAAGATATCATGAAGTTGAACCTTATTCATGTTGTTACCCTATTCATTGAACATATAAAAAAAAATAAAAAAAATTCTGGCCCTACTACATGTATAAACAAAATGTCATTAAAACTCTTCAGCCGTTATTGGAGAAGTTCGCACACAAAAAGCACAGGAGACCTTCACGTCTCCTATGGGAGTCATAGAAACAATAAAAATTGGTATATCAACAATTCAATACTGTCTATAGTTTACGCGAGTAGTACACATTTAAATAAAACACTTTAACGGTTTAAAACGCGATATATTAGTTAAATAATACACTTTAACGGTTTAAAACGCGATATATCAGTCTCCCCGTGACCACGACTGCTGCAAAGCATCCGAAACGTCGGGCCGAAGTTAAAAATCATTTCCAAATAAGTTTAACTAATATATCGCGTTTTAAACCGTTAAAGTGTTTTATTTAAATATCAACAATTGTTTTTATATGTCGACGGTCAAATAATATTTATAACACAAACTCAAACACACATCAGTGTCGGTTTCACGAAACAAATGTTAAAATGTCTACTTATAATCTATATTTCAACAACAACAATCAATTTATTCCCAAACCCCGGACCTTTTGTCGTAACGCGTTGCTAGGCAACGCATTTAACCATTGAGCAACGAAGTCACCGCCACACTTACATATAATAATTATATGTCATTATTACATTGGTTATAAATTTCAAGAGATTTGGCTACAACAGAAATGTATGTACACACAATTGTTGGAACAACCATAAGATGCACGTCCTGTCGCGGGTTTAAGATCACGCGGGACTAAATAAAAAAAAATCCAAATTAATATAAATACATACTTTAAACGCTTCCTTGTTAAAAGAGCTTTTTGACAGTACAAGATTTTTTCAGATGGCACAAGTAGTTCCAGAGTTTAGTATAACTAGCAAAACAAAAAATTATAATCAAGATGCTTAAATTCGTATGGCATAGTAAATATAACTGAAACATAACTATGCCGTAGTTAGAAGAACTAACATGTTTGTTGACAGTTCAATGTATAAATTACGTTATTATCTCTTTTAATTAGTTCTTAGTCGTTCAATATTTTCCATTACGTCCGTGAATATGAATAGAGATAAT